CAGTTCAGCTTTTTTACAGGTATATATACATATCCCTGGTGGTGCAATGGGTAAGCACTTAGCTAACTGAAAGGTCAGCAGTTAGAACCCACCAGCTGCTCCACAGGAGAAACAACCTGGAGATCTGCTCCTGTAAAGAGTATAACCTAGGATAGGACAGTTATACCCTGTCATATAGGGTGTGTGTGAGTGTGTGTGTATTATATTATTTTTGTATATATAAGAACATAAAGACTTTCAGGCAAATTTTAAACAGGAAATATTAGATTGTCAGCTGTCATAACTACTCAAAAAAGATTAATATTAACCTTTATTAATTGCCTATTAACTGAAAAAAAAAAAAACAATAAAATCATAGCAGAGGCTAGGCTAAGATAAAACAAGCAGTTCTTTATTTACTCCATTTTAACACAAGCAGAGAGAGGTAAAAACAACGGCTAAACTTCATTTCCTCAGCCTACTTTCCTGATCATGACAGTACATGCCATTTAAAGATATGCCTCCAAAAGTCTGAAAAAGTCAAATCCTATTTATTGCTGTTATCCCTCTTGCCAAACCACAAAGGAAAAATCTGAAATAACTTCACCAATAATCAAAACATAGAAATGTAATTCATAATCAGCAAGAGTTTTGCCTTCCCAAACGAGTGCCACACAAGAGCCAAAACAAAACCGTAGGAAACAATGGATTATCGAGCATGTTTCAGAGGTTATCCTATTGTCTCTATGGTTTAGGTCACTTGGCAGGTCAGGTTTCAGAGAAGTATAAGAACCAAGCATCTCTATCTCTTTAAATTCATGCATTCATGCAGAGCATGTTACAACTGTGGAAGATACAAAGGAAAAAGTTTCAAAACTTTCTGGTACAGCTTCTTCTATAGTGCCAGCATAATGTATCTGTGTCTACTTATTCCTTTTTCTTTTTCCCTTTTCCGTTACGAAACAGAAGTAACTTGGCAAAACATAAAGACAATGAGAGAGAGAATATGCATAAGTGTGCCAGCACTGCTTGTGCCAGTTTAAGGGGGCAAGGGAAGGAGGGAATGACGGAGAGCCAGGGAACAGTCAAAGGTAGGGTCACCAACAAGTCTGCCTGGGGTTGATCCAGTTTTAGCAGTGAAAGTCACACATCCCAGGAAACTCCTTAGTTCTTGGCAAAACCAAGAAAGTTGGTCACTCTGAGACAAGACATTAAAAAAGACAGAAAGAAAACATGAGTGTATAAAGAGACGGAATGGGAAAAATAAGGTATATGCTCAGAATAAAAAAAAAGAGAAGAGGAGGAGAAAAAAGGATAGGAACACGACTAAAGATTCTTAACTCAAAAGACAAAGAAAAAGTAAAGAAATGTGGAGAAACTAAAATGGGAGACAGAAGGTAGAAAAGAACAGAAGGGGAAGTATAGATTTGTTCTAGTTTCTTGATGCTAGGAATAATAAGTAGGGAAATGAAATCAACAGTACAAAGGGCATTTTGCAGGCTGGCACACAGGGAAATGGTTTCTCCCTGGACAGCTCTGAGGCCCAAAGTGCAGAAGGGCTGTTATGAACTTACCACCTTTCAGATGTTTGTCACCCTGTCTAAAAATTCCAGCTGCTCTTGGCTCCCTACTTTTTCTGCTTTAGTCATTCACAGACCCTGCGGTGAATCAAGTGTCTAGATCCCTATCAGAAATTTCTCTGTGGTGATAATACTTGTTGGCACAGATATCACAAAGCCAGCCAGAGGCAAGGCAACCTGCAGAGGCAAAACTTGAAGACAGAACTGAAGCTGGTTAGAGTGCAACACTTGAGTCATTCTGGGATTCTACAAACGGGAAACCAGAAGAAAGGGACAAGCAAGCCTACCTACAAATCCAAACTCAAAGAACACATAAAGTGGTCTTGGACTGTTGAACAAATGAGAAGAGAAGGAAGTGACCTCAGAAAACTGAAAAAACTGTTCTACAGGCTTTTCACCCCTGTAGTCCTCACTGCAGTACATCTACCAAACAGTTTATGTGTATGTCTCTGGAGCCAGAGATATGCTTATTAATTATTTATATAGCTCCAAAATGCAGCAGAAAAAGCAATAATAGGTCTACCTAGAAGAAAATTTTCATAAAAAGTGAAATTTACAGAAGAGCAGCGCTTCATTCTTTTCTCAGAAAAAAAAAAAAGGTCATATATGTTACTTTATAGTGGTAAACATTGTGAGGGAATATTTAGGAATGTGAGTGTGGAACTTCTGACCAGCAGAATCCCTAAAGCCATGTACAAAATAAAGTCATGATTCTGTAAAAGAATGATTAGTATTCTTAACTTCTAATATAAATGTAAAATAGAAATGATCACTCTATCACTATGTTATTAGTTATTCTAGTCTACATTTCTATGAATTTTATTAAAGATGCAAATTGATAAATGTAAAGATTAACTTTAAAGTATAGTTATTTAAATACTCACTTCGCAGCTGTCTCTTTATTTCTTTTGCAGGATCTAGCCAGTTCTGCAGAGGGGAAAAAAAAAAGTTAATTAACCTATAAGACACACTCCAGAGTCCAAATCAATACACTTTATAGCCCACATGCTTATTTAAATGTAAATATATTTTAATAAAGTCCTATTCAAAGCAGCTTTCGGCTATTAGCATTCCACTAGGCTAAGTTTTGATTTTTTAAATGTTTGTGTTCAATTCAAAAAGATGGAAACAACCTAGGTGCCCATCAATGGATGAATGGATAAACAAATTATGGTATATCCACACAATGGAATACTACACAACGATAAAGAACAACGATGAAGCCATAAAAC